GAGCCTAGGATCATGACCTGGGCCGAAGGCAGACGCTTAACCGAATGAGCCATCCAGGCGACCCGAGAGGTAGGCTTTTTTAAGGAGAAAAGGGGTAAATTGGGAAGGCTGTGATAAACTAAAAGTCCACTGGAGTAAACTGGGGGTTCCGAGTATGATGCCTGAGCTGTTGTGGGGTGGGGGAATAAGGAGAGTATCTCTTCCTCTGGCTGGAGTACTAGAGTGGTATCCATGTGCAAGTTCAAGTCCATGTATGGTCAAGTCCGGCTGTTTCTGTTAGGTTTGCAATTGACGGAGAGTCGAAGGGGCTGAGAGGTCCCTCTGCCAAAGCCTCCGGACTCCGTTTTAGTGAGGCTTCCCATTACTCATTTTCACAAAAGGGGCAAATATGGGCTTGCTGAGAACAGGTTTCATGGGGGAGAAGGGGAGCGGGGCCACATTTGAGATGTTGGCGGGAGGAAAATGTGGAGGGTGGGGGTGAGACATGTCAATGATCTCAAGCAAAAGAACCCTCTGCAGGTGGCAGGAAGAGCCCCTAGGAGAGGAGCCCACAGCAAGGAGGAAGGGCACGGGGGGGGGGGGGGACACAGTAGCATCTTCCATACCACCTGGTTCCATCATCCTGTCTCCCGTGGCCCCCTGGCGGGGGGGAGAGAAGTCAGAGGACAGATAATGATGAAGGGGAGAGAAATCCCAATGACAGCAGCATCCCTACTCTGTAGCGTCCTATGGATTATTACCACATGGTATGCCTTCCCCCAAACCTGGCCCTTGCTCCTCAGGGCTACATACTCTAAAGAGGAGGCAACTGGGGGTTAGTAATGTCTGAAATGATGGGGACACAGGCAAGGAATAACAGCTCTCTTCCCCGCTGGCTTGCAGGGCCCCAAGCCTCCTATCATCCAGCTGGCCCTCCACCAACCTCGAAGAGGACTCTATTCCCCACCATGTCCGAGGCTCTCTCCGGACACAGAGATACCTTGTGACTGGGGCATGAGCGAGGGACATGCCATCACAGCCAGCACCCAGCCCAGGAAACACTCTCCTTTTCAACCTAGCCTGAGATTCCCCACTCCCAGACAGGCACCCCGAAGCCAAGGGACACCAGCAAGGGGCAATCCCACCGCAACAGAGAGCCTGCCCAGCAACCCTCTCCTTCACCGCTGGGCCCGAAAATGTCCACCCCGAGACGCTCTGCTGCCGGGAGGCACCAGCACAGAGAATCGGGCCCCAACAAGGGCTTGGCCCACAATGCTCCCCACCTTCCACTGGCAGAGGGCATCCTGTCTCCCAAAGCTCCCAACACTGGAAACATTGCTTTTTCTGAAGGCAGGGGGACCCCTTCCCCCACCGAGAATCATGAGGGAGGCTGGCCTGGATGGGTTTCTTCTATTTCCTCAAGCAAGATCCACAGGCACACGTGGAAGTCCCAGCAGCAGCATAAACCAAGCATACCAAAATTGCACCACATAGGGGCGCCTGGCTGGCTCAGTCAGCGAAGCATGCAACTCTTCATCCCTGGGTCATGAGTTCGAGCCCCACACCGGGTGAAGAGATTACTTAAAAAAAAAGAAAAGCACCACAGAGGCTCTGAAAATCATCTCGTCCTTACAACCACAGCCCTCAAGAGTAGCCCAGGACCTGCAGGCCAAACCACACAGGAGGACTGCTTGCTAAAATACAAAGTTTGAATAGAACCAATGGCTCCTAACATAATACCCAAAATGTCCAGGACACAATGGAAAATCATCCTTCATACAAAGAACCAGGAAATTCTCAACCTGAATGAGAAAGGACAATCAAGTGCCTCTAACTCCCAAATTAATTAGATGTCAGAATTATCGGATAAAGCATCGATCATAAAAATAGCAATTACATGTTCATACCACCTTCTTTGTAATAGCCAATGGCTAGGAACAACCCAGATGTCCTTCACTGGGGGACTGTTTCAGCAAAGCGCAGTCTATCTATACAAACATAAAAAGAAACAAATATTGTTACACAGAATGACTTGCAAAAGTCTCCAGGGAATTACGCTGAAAGGGGGGTGGGGGGAGCCATTCTCAAAAGGTTACAGATGATAGGATTCCAATTATAAAACATTCTTGAAATGACAGAACTATATGAAGGGAGAGCAGACCGGGGCACCCGGGTGACTCAGTCGGTTGAGTGCCCAACTCTTGATAGGAGCTCAGGTCTTGATCTTAGGGTCGTGGTGTCAGGCCCTGCGCTGGGCTCCTGGGCATGGAGCCTACTTTTAAAAAAAAAAAAAAGGGAAACAGATACGTGGTTGCCAGGCGCCAGAGATCAGGGACTGGATAAAAGAGCTGGATGGGCAGGAGGAGGCGGGTTGGGTTTGAGTCTCTAAAAGAGCGACCGGGGGGGATTCTTGCAGGGATGAACTGTTCTCCAGCCAGACTGTATTCATGTCAATATCCTGGATTGTAGTATCGTTTGTGCAAGATGTTACCAATGGTGAAACTACCTAAAGGGTAAAGGATACCCGTCCATTTTTCCAATTGCATGTCCATCTATAATAATGTCAAAATTAAAAGTTTAATTCAAAAGAGGCACACTACTAAGAAATTCATCCTCCTCCAGAAAAATCCAAACCACTATTTCTGAGGTCCTTCCAGAAACTGACTTCAGAAACTCCCTCTTGTTCGCAGCTATGTTCTCCGGGCTGGTGTCAGGGAGGCCATTCCGAAGCCCTCCTCCCCTCCCACCCGCCCATTCTGTTCCTCACCTGCATCCTTTACTGCTTGTGGGTTCTTCTGGAGCTGAGGCTTCGTGGCTAATGCAGCGGGGGCTTCCCTGAGTGTCACCGGGCTCCAGCTTGAAGCTCAGCGACTTGCATGCTGTTCCCTGAAGCAAAGGCTGCTTTAAAGGCATTTTGGTTCTCAGCCCATTGTTTGTGACCTGAAATCAGCGGGCCATCACTCACCATCATAAAAGGGCCCAACAAGGCAAGGGAAATTACTACAAGGATCTGAAGGCAGAGTCCACAGAAGAGCATGGTCAGTCACTCTGGACACCACAAGAGAAAAAGAATGGCTTAAACTACAGGGGTCTGAGCGAAAATGTGAGTATGTGACCGTCTGTGGGGGGCGCGGGGGTCCCCCTTCCCACTGCACACCTTTCCCGCACAGATCTCCTGAAGTTCTGCCCTCCCTCTTTCCCTGCCCCCCTTTGCCGGTCGCCCCCATGCCTCACCGCTAGGTGGGCTAGCCTGGGGGGCCCGGGGAGCCTGACCTCAGAGCCTCGGGGCCAGACAGTTCCTCGGGCCGCACCCTTAACGGAGACCCAGCTGCGCGCACGAGGCCGGGCCGCTGACCCAGACAGAGGCACAGCGAAGCGCCCGTTGCTTTAGAGACGGTGTCCGTCTGTCGCGCAGGCTGCAGGCACAGGCTCTGCACGGGCACGAGCCCACGGCCGGGCCCCACGCCAGTCTGGACCCGCTCCGCTTCCGACCCGGGCGGCCTCCCGCTTCTGGGAGCTTCGCCAGGGGACGGCGAACTTGCGAACGCAGCCCGCGCCGCGACCAGCACGGCGCACGGCGGCCCCGCCACCCTCCCGCCTCAGCCTCGCGAGTCGCGGGCACTCCGGGCGCGGCCACCACGCAGGCCAGCCGAGTCTGAAGCAGCGGCCCCGACGCCCGGCAGGGTCGCCACACGTACACGCTGCTGCCCCCTCGCACTCCAGGCCGCCCGGGAGCCTCTGCGCCGCGGCGACGGGAGGCCCACGGGCGGCCAGGAAGCGGCCCCAAGTCCCGCCGGGAGCGGCAGCGGGCGGAGCCGGGAGCGGAACCCGCGGCTCCAGGGCGCGCGCACGCGGCCGCCGGCCGCCGCCACAGCGCCCCCCGGTGGGGACAGGCGCCCCTGCCGCTCGCTCTGCGCCCGCGGAAAACCCGGACGCTCCAAGTTCCAGACCAAGGTACAGAAGGGCACTGGCCAAGTCAGGTCGGCTCAGGGCGATGCCGAAAACCCGAACGGGGACCGGAGCCCGCGCTGCCTCCGTGTTCCGGCCCAAGCCAGACCAGATAAAAGCCCGCTCTCGCCGTCTCTCTGGCCTGCGCCCTCACCCCGCACGCTGTCCGCGCAGACGCCGCAAGAGGCACGGCTTCTTCGCAGCTCTGCGCCAGCCGCCTCTGCACCGGGCTGTGGGTCCCCTGGCACGGGCGGGCCGGGAACCGCTCGGACACCAACAGCCCTAGGACCCGCTCCAGGGTGCGCATCTCAGGCCGAAGCCACCGAGCGCTGGCAAAGCTCCGGGCGCCGCCCGACGCTTCCCCGGGGCCCAGCGGCCAAAGCCCCAAGAGCAGGCGGGAGGCCACCAGGCTGCGCCCCGGAGGTGGGGAGGCGGGCCAGCGCCTGGCGACAGGCGCACTAACTCCTGGGGTGTCTCGTCCGGAGCCTTTTCGCTCCTGGGAGCCTGGGCCGGACGCCAGGGTCGCGTTCCTAGATCTCTCGACCCCGAAACCAGCTGGGGCGGCCGTCGCAGGCGCCCCGGGCAACCCCAAACAGCGGGATCGGCGTGCCCCGGGCTCCGGGTCCCCGCGCAGCAGCCCAACCCCAGCCCGGGGGCGCTGTCTCCAGGGCCGTGGCCTCTGCGCGTTCGGGGCGGTGGGGCGACTGCCCCTCGACCCGCTGCGCCCGGGGTTGGGAGGCACAGTCGCAGGCGGCTCTCTCCTCTCTGTCCTGCTCCCACCAGGGAAGTCCCAGCACTAAAGCCTGGTGTCCCAACACCAACGGCACCAGCTGGGGACCAGTGTGAGGACGACGTCTCCCCAGGGACAGCATCGTCTCTGGCCTGGCGCCAACGCACCCGGGAGGGGAAACGTGACCCCAGCGGCGGGGCCACTTGGAAGACAAGAGGCGGGCCGCGGGGGGAACCCAAACACCCGCGGGCCCTCTGCTGGTGGCCGAGGGCGGAGAGGAGCGCACGGGGTGGCGCGAGGCCGAAGCTCGGGTCTTCAAGAAGGAAACTAGAAAGGTAGCTCAAGGCCAGTGTGACCCGCGAGAACAATACCAGAGTCATAAGGCCAGGAAAGCTTTTTTTTAATATTTTATTTATTTGACAGAGAGACACAGCGAGAGAAGGAATACAAGCAGGGGGAGTGGGAGAGGGAGAAGCAGGCTTCCCGCGGAGCAGGGGGCCCGATGTGGGGCTCGATCCCAGGCCTCCAGGATAATGACCTTAGCCGAAGGCAGACGCTTAAGGACTGAGCCACTCAGGCGCCCCGCCCAGGAAAGCTTATTAAAATGCGAGTTCTCAGGCCGCCTGGGTGGCTCAGTCGGTTCAGCCTCTGCCTTGGGCTGGGGTCGTGGTCCCGACGTCCCGGGATTGAGTCCCGAGAGGGGCTCCCTGCTCGGTAGGGAGTCTGCTTCTCCCTCTCTCTCTGCCCGTCCCTTTTGTTCTCTCTCAAATAAATAAAATGCCAATTCTCGGGGGGTGGGGGGGGGCTGCTTGGCTCGGGTCATAATCCCAGGGTCCTGGGTTGGAGCCCCGTGGGGCTACCCTGGTCAGTGAGAGTCTGCTTCTCCCTCTCCTTCTGCCCTTCCCGCCCAAGGCCCACCCCTCCCCACCCCCGCTTGTGCTCGTGCTTTCCCGCTCTTATAAATGAAATCTTAAAAAAAAAAAATGTGAATTCTCCAGCTCATGCGAGATGCGGTGCGTCAGGGTTATCGGGGAGGGGCCCCCAAATCTGAAGTTTTACCAGGGCCTCCCAAGAAATTCTTCCTGCACTGAGAGGCTGGAGAATCGGTGACCCAGGAATAAAAGAGTTAAAGGAGGCCCCCAGCACTCGGGTTACTCTGGGGCGGATGGAAGAGAAGCCCTTGCTGGGATCAGGAACCGGGGACGTCCCACCCAAGCCCCTGGGCTCTGGAAGCGCTGAAGACCGGAAACGGGAACGCTTCCAAGGCTGCAGGAGGCCCCTAGGAGGCCAAGGAAGCGGCGGTCCCTCCCACGTCAGCATGCTCTCGGGCCCAGACGGCGGGGCGCGTGCGTCGGAGCCTGCCGGGAAATGTAGTCCTCAGGGCGGCCGCGCGCCTGCGTCCTGCGCAGCTGCCCCGGGGAGCCTGGGAAAGCCGTGGGCGCCGAGGCGGTGAGTCCCGGAGCGGCCAGAGGGCGTGGCCGTCCCTGGGGCGCGGACGCGGGCGGCGGGGCTCCCATCGCGCTAGGGCTACGCCAACCGGCTGCCGCCAGCCCTGATCCGGCGGCGAGCGCGTGGACGAGCGCCGGGCGGCGGGCCCCTGTCCGGCCGGGTCCCCACTGCCGCTCCCTGCGCCCCGGCCGGGCCTTCCCGGGGTTGTCCGGGGCCCGGAGCGCCCGTCGGGGCGCCGGGACATCCCGTGGGGAGCGCGCAGGGGCCGTGCCCGCGCCCCGGGCGGCCGATTTGTAACCGGCTTTTAGAAGTTCCCGCGACGTGTCCCTCCTCGCCTTTCCCCGAGTGCCCGCTTTGCACACACCCTCTTTATCCGGGGGCCGTGGGAGCGCGGGCTCGCTCGGGCCGATCTGGGGAGAAGCCGGGAGCCCCGGGGTGCAGTGAGGGTCCCTGCGGAAGGGCGGGTGGAGGGACGGCGGGACAATCAGGGCCCTGCTGGACGTGGTGGAGGGTTGGGGCCCATCTGGGGAGGGCGGCCAACTGCGAGGCTGAGCATGGTCAGGGCGGTTCCACAGCCCAAGGGGCTGGGTTCCCGGATGCCATCCAGGGAGGGGGGTTCGATGCCTGGGGTGGGGTTGGGGGGGACGTGGAAGCTTTCTAGGATCGAGTGGTGGGGAGCAGTAACCTTGCTTGAGCGCTTCCTCTGTGCCAGGCCAGGCACAGCCCTTGGCTTCCACGCAGTTGGATCCACCACAGGAAATTTTATGGAATCGATGCTATGATTATTTTCATGTTACAGACAGAAGCACTGGGTGTCAGGGTCACAAAGCGAGCAGGTTATCGCACGTGGGTGGGTCTGCTGCTAAAGTTCAGGTTACTGTCAAGATAAAGGATGATAAGGTCACAATGTACATTTGGGATGACTAGGTAGGAAGATTATGAGTATTTTTTAACTTGTGCCACTGCAGGGAAGAGGACAGGTTCATGAGGTATCTGGGCAAATACAGAGAGAGGATCTGTAGCATAACGTGGGCAATGATATTGAGACCTGCGTGTGACCATGTCTGTGACCTCAGACATTGCACTAAGAACATTTGGATGATTTGAGACATGAGCGTTGCAGAGATCTGTTCATTCCAACCTTCTCACCATTTCCCTCTGGCATTTACTGTGTGACCTGGGACAAGTCATTCAGTGTCCCTGAGCCTCCAACCTCGGTCCCCTCCTCTGTACTCAGGGCATCATACTAGTCCCCACGTCCTCGCTCTGGGTGAGGGCTACGTGACCTGCCATATGCGGGAGACTTCGAACAGCACGTGGACACAGTGCCATGAATGTGATCAGTGTCCTTGGTTACTCATGCGGACCAGATAGCTGGTGGCCCGCCCTGAGGCAGTGTATCGTTCTCATGAGAAAGCCACTTGACATGCCATCGCAGGACGAGGGTCAGGCTGGTGTCGGCTGAAGTACACAGCCCTTGAGTGGAGAAGAATGGAGGGTTGTGGATCTGTAGCCTTTGGAAGCAAGGCTCTAACTACCTAAGATGCCCGTGGCTGCAGGTGACCAAGGGTGACTCAGAGCCACATGGACTTTCAGGGTGACTCACCAGAGTTGTCAGTATTGCTCCCCATTTCCTCTGTGGCCTGTGTATCTAGAGAAACAGAAGACAGCCCATATTAGACTGGGATTGGGGTTTCAGGCCACCAGATGTATAGGGGTTCATTTAAGGGATGGGGCTGTTAGCCTTGTGCCCATGAAATATTAAAGCCAAGCTGTCCAATAGAACTTACTGCAATTATGTCTATGGAACACTTGAAATGTGGCTAGTATGAATGAGAAACTGAATTTTTAATATTAATTAAACTGAAACTGCCACATGGGACTATCATATTGGGCAGCACAGTTCTAGAGGGTCCGTGGATGTTCAAGAACATTCTGTGAACTATTTAAATTGGATGTGTGTGTGTATTTTTTCTAGGAAGTGAGTCCATGGTTTTCATCAGCTTCTCATAACTACCAACAAAATTAGGATCTGCTGCTTTATGGCTTTGGCAGAAAGCAAGCAAGTTAAGGGAGCTGAGTATGGCCTCTGGTAACCACTGCTGTTCCTTCTTTCTCATTTTGTCTTGTCCTCAGCAGTGGGTGGCTCCTCATGATGACCGCCTAATGCTGTTTACTTCTTCATAGCAGGCTAGGACCGTTAACCCAAAGCCCACTGATGTCAAACTGAAACTCTCATACATTCAGTTGTTTTAAATAGTCCCAAAAACAAATTTTCAAAGCCATTTGGAGCCTACCTATCTACATACTCCATAAAACCTCACCCATCATCTGCAAACCGCAGGTAAGTCAAATACTGGGGTACATAAACGACCCCAGACTGCTGCTACCCTTTGGAACTGTCTGACCTGGGGGCTCCCCACCAAGCTGCTCAGTGTCATTACCTAAACACAAACATTTCCTCTCTCATTCCCCCTTCTTCCCTGCCAATATCCTTGCCCTATTCCCCATCTGGGGGCTGGCGCCCATGCCTCTGTCTCTGGAAGGTCTCTTGCGGGGAGGGAGTTCCCCTCTCAGACAACCCTGACCTTGTGCTGCCCAAACAAAGCTTGTTACTGCCTCTCATGGTCCTGTGTCTTCCTCGATCACCACCCCTCCAGTCCCTGAACTCACCACGAATCCTTTTAAGAGAGAGACAGGAGGAGCAGAGTTAGTAGTGGGAGATATTACTATGGAAGCCAGTAGGTGGTGTGATGCCAGGAAGGGGTCATGAAGCCAAGAATGTAGGCAGCCTCCAGAAACTGAAAGAGGCAAGGAAATGGATTCTTGCCTGAAGCCTCCAGAAGGAATGTCACCCTCTAACAACTTGAGTTTAGATTTCTCACCTCCAGAAGGCTAAGAGGGGAAAAAAAAGTTATTATTTTAAGCCACTAAGTTTGTGATAATTTGTTACAGCAGCAATAGGAAACTAACATAACTTGTATATGTCTACCTGTAAATATTTCTACATCTATCCATCTGTGTCTGCTAAGATAAATATGACTTCTTACCCGCATCTCCAGCTCTGATCCATTACCACGTGGGTCATTCTAGCCTTCCCTTCTTGCTTAACTATAACTGCACTCACCAACAGTGGCTCCCACCATCCGGCATCCATAAACTGAATTTGTTCAACCAGTACACATGTAAGGCAGTTTCAGAAATGTTCAGCCAGGGGCACCTGTGTGGCTCAGTCGTTAAGCGTCTGCCTTCGGCTCAGATCATGATCTCAGGGTCCTGGGATCGAGCCCCGCATCGGGCTCCCTGCTCGGCCAGGAGCCTGCTTCTCCCTCTCCCACTCCCCCTGCCTGTGTTCCTGCTCTCGCTATCTCTGTGTGTGTGTGTCAAATAAAATAAAATCAAATCAAAAAAGATTTTATTTATCCATTCATGAGAGACAGAGAGGTGCATAGGCAGAGGGAGAAGCAGGCTCCCCGCGGAGCAGGGAGCCCGATGCAGGACTCGATCCCCAGGATCCTGGGATCATGACCTGAGCCAAAGGCAGACGCTTAACCGACTGAGCCACCCAGGCGTCCCAATAAATAAAATCTTTAAAAAAAAAAAATGTTCAGCTATACGCCCGTGAGAATTTGCCACCCTGAGGACAGTGCTTTGTCTTTAGCTTGGCTCCCCACATTTATTTTTTATTCATCCCCCAACTTTTAAGTTTTGAAATATTTTATTTTAAGATTTTATTTATTTATTTGACACACAGGGAGAGAGCCCAAGCAGAGGGAGAAGCAGGCTCCCTGCTGAGCAAGGAGCCCTATGCGGGACTCGATCCCAGGACCCTGAGCTGGGATCATGACCTGGGCCAAAGGCAGACGCTTCACCAACTGAGCCACCCAGGTGTCCCAAGTTTTGAAATATTTTAAATATATGGAAAATTTGCTCTCTTCTTGGCAAGCTTAGTGCTGTGGATGCTGCTTCTCTCCCTGTTCTGCTCATTGCCTCTGGATTTTGGTCCCCTTCCCCTCAGGAGCTCCCCCAGTAGATGCTTGGCAGGGTTTTAGACCTGCTTGACCCACACCCCTACCCGGTTGCCTCACCCAAGCCCTTAGCCTTCCCAGATCTGCCTGATTCCACTCCTGGTGGCTTTGTGGCTCCTGTCACATCCCTCTTCAACCTCCAGTCTCTCCCAGGAGCTTGTCCCCAGGGACACACACCTGTATAATTGTATGCAGTGGCACTGGAGAGAAAAGGTTCCGTGTTGAGAGACTTGGAAGGGAAGGGGAGACTATCAGGACAGCAAACATGAACAGAGATTCAAGACAGGTTGGAAATCCCAGAGCAGAATGTCACCTGTCCCACATTCTACCTGGAGCTCTGGGAGGGAGACGTCCTGTCAGTGCCCCACACCAACAGAAGGAGGCAAAAGGAGGTCAGAAATGCCAGCCTGGCACTTAGCAGAGTGGCCCTGAGATGATGCTCATTTGTAGCATGAGCGAGTCCCCGCTGCAGGTCTCAGAAAGTCTCTGTAGAGATGTTAAGAAGAGTCTTGGTCAGGGTGCCTGGGTGGCTCAGTCGTTAAGCGTCTGCCTTGGGCTCAGGTCATGATCCCGGGGTCCTGGGAATCGAGCCCCGCATCGGGCTCCCTGCTCCGCGGGAAGCCTGCTTCTCCCTCTCCCACTCCCCCTGCTTGTGTTCCCTCTCTCGCTGTGTCTCTCTCTCTGTCCAAATAAATAAATAAAATCTTTTTTTTAAGATTTTATTTATTTATTCATAAGAGACAGAGAGAGAGAGAGAGGCAGAGGGAGAAGCAGGCTCCCTGCTGAGCAGGGAGCCCGATGCGGGACTCGATCCCAGGACCCTGGGATCATGACCTGAGCTGAAGGCAGACGCTTAACCATCTGAGCCACCCAGGCACCCAATAAATAAAAACTTAAAAAAAAAAAAAAAAAAGAGTCTTGGTCGGCCAGAAGAGGCCCGGGATAGGGAGGAAGAAGGCCCAAGTTGTGCAACTCCCCTTATTGGGAGCCACACCAGCATCTGATGTGGCCATGCCCACAGCCAGCCAGAATCAGTAATACAACGGCCAACGTTCAAACACCGAGGAGGAGGAGGGACCAAAGGGGACAGGTCGGTCCTTTTTTTCTTCGATCATTCCGTGTAAGCTCTCTCTGTATCCAGATACCTTCTTGGGGAGGAAGAGGAGTATGAGTCGGAGGGAGTGGAGGAGAGGAATGGGGAAGGGGAAAGAAGAGGAAGAGGAAAAGTAGGAGGAGAGACAGAGGAGTAAAGAAGCCTTCTTGGAGGGGCGCCTGGGTGGCTCAGTTGGTTAAGCATCTGCTTTCGGCTCAGGTCATGATCTCAGGGTTCTGGGATCAGATGAGTCCGGAGTAGAGTCGGGCTCCGCTTGGCGGGGAGTCTGCTTCTCCCTCTGCCTCTGTCCCTCCCCCCGCTTGGGCACACGAGCACGCGCTCTCTCAAATACATAAATAAAATCTTTTTTTAAAAAAAAGAAGACTTCTTGGAGACTTCAGTACTGATGGACATTGTGCATTACCCATTGAAGGAGATAGCACGGTGTAGAGTTCCCCAGACATCCTGCTCAAGGGATTACTTTGTTTATAGAACACGTACTCATATCTCATAACGCTAGTCCTCCCTGAAAGACTTTGGGAACTATGGCTCTATAATTTAAATTTGTGACCAGTGCATATGGGCCCATGACACAGATGGGAGGTGATGGGGATCCCTAACAGATACGCAGTGAGACGCTAAAGAGACTTCCCCCTCTCAAAGCTGCTTTGAGCGCCCCTGGGGTGGTCATGGTCTGAAGCCCTTCTTGGGTTTTGTCTCAGAGGGTCATGCCCCATTTAAGGAAAGTTCTTTCCAAGCTCCCAGAGTCTGTCTTACTGTAAACAGGGATTTTACTGGATCTTTTTTAAAGGGAACAACTCTACTAAAGTTAATTCAGAGGGCAAGCAGCTGGGGTCCTCCAGGTCACTAGGGGTCCCCAGTCATTTTCATGATGCCCCCAAAGTGCAGCCTGAAGTTCTGATAGCTCCAAGGCATCTTGCCAGTAGTCAATGACTGGGGAAAGAACGAGAAACAGTGGAGCCGGGCATTGAAAGCCTAATCCAAACCACAGCCAAGATCCACAGCTGGACTCCCGCCAACCTGGAGAAGGCCTTCTGTGGCCACCGGAGACCGTGTTGGCGATGAACTAGAGTCACCCAGAGCAGCATTTCTGAGAACCCCTGGGGCAAGAGGCGCACATGACGAGGATGTTGTGTTGGGTGTGATCCTGGATGAGCATAGTGGGAAGGAGGAGCAGCCTGAGGGGCGGCCCATTCCTTAACACAGAGAGGGTACTAATGGGGATATTTATAAATACAGTTGCAGCTGCCGTGGGAGACCGGGAGGGGAGGTGCGTTGCACTCCGCATGCTGAGGGTCCCCTCCCGCAGGACCGGAGACGTTGCAGCTGGGGCCCCCCCGACTGGGCGGCAAGAACTGAGCCGCTCACGCCCGCAGCCCAAGATCCTTATGAAATCCCAGGGAGAGACCCACGTCCCATTGCCTGGCAGCACATATCTATAGGCAGAACAGACAACAAAAGTCTTGCTCTCTTCTCCCTGGGGAGAAGATTTTAATGTCTACAACGCAAACATTCCTTAGACATCTGTAAACTTCTCTCAAAATTTTCTGGGACTGGGGCTCCTAAAACCAGATTTCAATTATAAATGCTAATTGGTTAAACTTTTTTTTTTTTAAGATTTTATTTACTTATTTGTGTGTGTGTGTGTGTGTGTGAGAAGGAGAGAGAGAGGGAGAGAGCACAAGCAGGGGGAGCGGCAGGCAGAGGGAGAAGCAGGCTCCCCGCTGAGCACGGAGCCCCATGTGGGGCTCAATCCCAGGACCCTGAGATCATGACCTGAGCTGAAGGCAGACGCTTAACCTACTGAGCCACCCAGGCGTCCCTAATTGGTTAAACATTTAATACGTGATCAGGGCACCTGGGTGGGTCAGTCACTTAAGTGTCCGACTCTTGATTTTGGCTCTGGTCATGATCTCCGGGTCGTGGGACTGAGCCCTGAGTCCTGCTCTGCGCTCAGCGGGGAGCCTGCTTGGGGTTCTCTCTCTCTCTGAAATAAATGAATCTTTAAAAAAAAAAACCCGTTTAATACGTGATCAGCTCTAGAGAAGAAATCTAATTATAGTTCATTGAAAATTTTACACAGTGGGTAGAATATTGACATAGTTAAGGAGCAGACAAGGCCAGAAAGATTCTGACACCGACTTAATGTATTTTGATTCTTGCCCTTAGAAGCCAGGTCCCACCTCTACACCCACAAGGCTGCTGACTACAATCACCCATGACTCTCTGCCTGAGGATTTTTTCTCACTCATTCTGCTGGGCTCCTTCTTCTCTGTTCCCCATCACCAACCCCAGGGTCAACCTCATGATTTTTTTGATCACTATCAGGTAATAGAACATCTTCAGTGAGCTTAGTATTCCACAAGGTCAGTGTCCCGTCCAAGGTGATAACCACAACTCTAATCTATTTTCCGTGTCTTTGCCTCACCCTTCCCCCAGCTCAGGCCTGGCCTGGGCTGAAGTCTGCAGTAGGAAAAGGGAACAAGGTGTGGTGTGGCATGATCCTCCCGCTGAGACTCAGCCCGCATCTCCCTCCCTCCCCTTTTGCAACCATTTGTCCCCAAGGGTCTGTTGAGCGCGGGGAGGAACAAGAGGTCTGGGTCATGACGCGCATCTCCTTTATCTGGATGGATTTTCGCAGCTGTTTAAATCTGACTTTTTCTCCTTTGGGTGGGGTCTTTCATGGCTACTTTGGAGACCTCATCTCTGGATCTCGATCCCCTGCATTTCCCTGATATATGACCTCCACGTAGAGAACGTCCCACAATCCTTCCTCCCACCTTTTTTTTTTTTTTTAAAGATTTTATTTATTTATTTCAGAGAGACATCCAGAGAGCGCACAAGCAGGGGGAGGGGTGGAGGGAGATGGAGAAGCAGGCTCTCTGCTGAGCAGGGAGCCCACAGTGGGGCTCCATCCCAGGACCCTGGGATCATAGCCCTGAGCCACCCACACACCCCCCAGTCACTCTCTTTTCAACTGTATTTGTGATTCTGATGTCTTCCCACTGTCTCTCCCAAACTTGGAGGGAGACCAGTCGAGGCATCCCAGTGGCCTCCTTGAAGACCCATCCCCTTAGTAAATTTGAGGTGTAAGGCATTTTCGACTCGGAAACTCAGTAGTTTTTCCATCCTCTCCCAAGAGGACCCCTCTCAATTCCAAACCTCCCCGCCCCCCCCCCCAGACGCAATCATGTTAGTAAACCTTCTCTAAGGGTGAAGAGCCAGCCTTCACCTGTTTGTGGCCTTTGGGTCACACGACGCGGAGTCAGAGGGACAGAGAGCATGTCAACAAATCACACACCAAAGCCAAAGAAGTGAACACAGCTTCTATTTTAATGGTGCCCTCAGGGGAAGGATTTGTTGATCCACACCATTTTCTTGGATTTTTCATAGTCCCCCAGGATCGTGGGTGAGTAGGTCACGTGGCTTTTTTGGCAAAAGCCACTTCCACCCTGGTGTCTTCTGCGTCAGGGTCCACAGCCACTCCCTCAGATCCTCATCATTTCTATGCCTCCCCAGTTGCCTCCCCAGTAAAAAGCTCAGCAGTTTTGAGAGGCCAACGTGGGTTTTAGGTATTCGTCTGCCTTCTTCCTGATGCTTGGGTTGGGCCTGCCGGGACCCGCTTCAGAGTGCCCTTCCTCCATGCCTGGCTGACACCACAGATGGCACCAGGAAGAAGCACAACTGAAAAAAAAAAACCTGTAAAAGTTGATGGAATCGAGAATTACTTATAGGAGAAGTAACAGGTGCCCCAGAAGTCCCTCCGCACGTCCATCTACTTGCACATGCGTGTGCACATGAACACACACACCCCAACTTAGTCATAAGATGACTGCCTTGAGATGGTATCTGCTATGAAATGCCAGCTTTATCGCTTATTTGATCCCCACGTATATATGAAGATATTTCTAGAATCTCTATTTTGTTCCATGGACATGTATATCAATTCCTGTTTCAACTGCTAACCTGATAGAGTTTGTTTGTTTTTTTTATTTTTTTATTATTATTATTTTTTAAAGATTTTATTTATTTATTTGAGAGAGAGAGAGTGAGAGACAGAGAGCATGAGAGAGAGGAGGGTCAGAGGGAGAAGCAGACTCCCCGCCGAGCAGGGAGCCCGATGCGGGACTCGATCCCGGGACTCCAGGATCATGACCTGAGCCGAAGGCAGTCGGTTAACCAACTGAGCCACCCAGGCGCCCCTAGAGTTTGTTTTAATAGATAGTATGACAAGGGGCGCCTGGGTGGCTCAGTCTTTAAGCATCTGCCTTCGGCTCAGGTCATGATGCCGGGGTCCTGGGATCGAGCCCCGCGTCGGGCTCCCTGCTCGGCGGAGAACCTGCTTCTCCCTCTCCCACTCCCCCTGCTTGTGTTCCCTCTCTCGCTGTGTCTCTCTCTGTCAAATAAATAAATAAAATCTTAAAAAAAAAATAGATAGTATGACAAGCTCTCCCCTGGGAAAGTCCCTCATAGTTTCTCTTCAAGGTAATTGTATAACCCAGTCATCTAGTTCCAAATCTACACTCAAAACCCTGTTGTGATTTCTGATTGGGATTGCACTGAAATCATAGATTTAGAGGAGAATTGATATCATTTCAAAGATTCGTCTTCCTTCCTCACCCCGAAAAAATAATTTAAAATATTATTTTAGTGTCCAAACAGGAAGTGCATAAAAAGGTTCATGTATATTTTCCCTAGGTTTCTTTAAAAGTTAATTATATTTGGGCGCCTGGGTGGCTCAGATGGTTAAGCGTCTGCCTTCGGCTCAGGTCATGATCCCAGGGTCCTGGGATCAAGTCCCGCATCGGGCTCTCTGCTCCTTGGGAGCCTGCTTCTCCCTCTGCCTCTCTCTCTCTGTCTCTCATGAATAAATAAATAAAATCTTTAAAAATAATAATAATAAAATAAATTAAAAAAAAATAAAAGTTAATTATATTTGTAGGTGTTTCACCATGCTTGTGACTAATGAGAATTGGACGTTTACTTCTATTCTATTTCCTAGAGGAATTGTATGCAAAATTTATTGTATGTGTGTGTTTAACTTTTATCAACTGACCTTTCCTGATCTACTTCCTGGGTGATGGCTTTGGTTTTTCTAAGGAGGAAATCCCTTTAGAGAAAGGCAGTTTTGCTACTTTCTTTTGGTGACATGATAATGGACACTGATAATAGGTCTTATCCCTTTCTGAGGTCTTTTAGACCCTGAACACAGTATCTGAATGTCTTGACATGGCTCTAGAGGGGGTGGGAGGAAAGTGGGGGGAGTGGGCCTTCCCTGCCTCTCAAGAAAAAGACTGTGACCTGGCTCTCATTGACTTCAACTGTTTCAAGTGTCACATGAATGAGGATAATAGCCGTCCCTCCTCTAGCATTGCTCACCCACTCACTGTTGTCAGCCCTGAGCCAGAGGTAACCCAGGTGATAACGTCCAGCTTCGGATCTTGCACGTGGCCCCAAGGTTCTGAGAGCCATTGTGAGTCACCACGACACCTCTGGGGCTTAGCCAATCAGGCCTTAGGGCTCAGGGAACAAGAAGACAAGGAGAGAAAGAATTTTTCCTCACTCCTCGGTCTCTCTTCTGGACCTTTCTCTACAGAAACCTGAGTGGTGTCTGAGGTAAGCCATCCATCTGTAATATGGTTTGGGACTGTTACCACACTAACCCACCTGATGAACCCCAGACCTACTGGATAGAAGGGGAGGTTACAGGACTATCATTTGCTCAGACTGGCACAGAGACGGTCTGTAGAGAAGTGGGGAGGAGCAGGGCCTCTAGATCCGGCCTTTTTACTTCTGCTCCCAGCTCTGTGTAGCCTGAGCAGTGCCTTAATTTCTCTACTGAGTCAATAACAGAACACAGAAAGTACCTGCCCCCAACCTTGGCACTGGGTCAGATTCAAAAAATACTGCCCAAAGCTTTGGGAGGCAGGGCACTCTGGGGGTCCTGGTGAGGTATCAGCGGTGTGGGGCTCATGGTCAGCTATCGGGGTGAGTGCAGTCTTCGAACACGATTGGTCATAACACTCACAGACAGCCTCTCCAGGCCTTCAACGGATCCGTCAGCACCTAGTTCCCAGCCTTAGATCTTTTCCTTCTTGAAATGCCTTTGTCTTTAACCTTTCTTGACTGATGGGGGGAACGAGTCCTAAGCCATCTCTTTTTTTTTTTAAGATTTTATTTATTTATTTATTTATTTATTTATTTATTTATTTGAGAGAGAGAGAGAGAGAGAGAGAGAAACAGCATGAGAGGGGAGAGGGTCAGAGGGAGAAGCAGGCTCCCCGCCGAGCTGGGAGCCCGACGTGGAACTCGATCCCAGGACTCCAGGACCATGACCTGAGCTGAAGGCAGTCGCTTAACCAACTGAGCCACCCAGGCGCCCTAAGCCATCTCTTAGGACTACGCTGGAAACAAGTGTGTGTGGCGGGGAGGTGGCAGGGGGAAGAGGCTCCTGGGGCCACGGAATCCACTTGAGTTTCATCATCTTTTTCAGGCTTCCTCCGTTGTGCCCACCTGGGGCACTGGCCAGTCATGGAGAAAGAAAACTCTGAAGTCGAACCCAGCACACCCACACCGAGTGATGAGAAGAAGACAAGTGACAGCTCGAAAGTGCCCACCAAAAATGTTCTGTACTTTCTACTGGGGAGGCAGGTGGGGAGGCACAGGAATGATGTGGATCTGTCCAGGTGGCTGTGGATGCTGACCTGAGCCACACAGCAGGGTGGAGCTGGCCCTTGCTAAAAAAGCATGGGTCTTACCTGCTTATGCCTACCCACACTTTTTGAAAATGCAAAACAACAACAAAAAATTGATTTCAAGTAACATACACCTCCCTTGTTTCAGCTACGACAATAAAAGCTGAGTTTTCATCCCTTTTGGTTTGATATGTTTTTCTTGCCCAAACGGCATTTTTAGGTTAGTTACACCGGACAGGGGATTCCATGCATGGTAACGTGGAATGCGGCAGCTCGCACAGCCTGGGAGGTGGTGAGATCCCACAGCAGGTCACATCTCGTC